GGAAATTTATTTTGTAAAAACTAAAAAGAAAAGGAAATCTTTCTGGTCAGCGGGCAGATGCATCTTCGAGCAAATTGAGAAGTTTCGGGCAGCTGCCTGGTGAACCGGTTAATTAAACAATTCAGCAACTTGTCTGAACAAGGCAGCCTCGAGACTCCCACTTGTTGATGTTCCGGCCGGTTTAACTTGGTTCTCTAATCAAATTGTCTGTTGAGGTGCTCTTAGGTTTCGATGTTGGCCTTTATGAGAATCAAAATTCGGTTTGGTTTGGTTTGGTTTCTCTCTTTTGAGGACAAAATCTTGTACATGTTTTATTTTAAGATGTTTATCAGTTTCTACAACACAAGTTTATGTTGTATCAAGAACCTGTATGGGTTTTATTTAAATATCCTTATGGATCATTTCATTCGTAAACTAACTTTTGGATGGGTTTTATTTTACCTATGAGTTCTATATATTGGCCTTGATTAAAAACTTAGTATGAAATATGCTCATATGACTAACTAGCTTTGGTCAATTCATTTTCTTTTTTTAAAGAAACTATTTGTAGATTAATTTATAGAGCCTCCTTAGTTCGATTGAAATTTACACTCGGAGAATGGAATATGGTGACCAATAAAAGAGTCTATATCCCATTTGATTTGATGTATGTCTTTAGGTTTTATTATGTTAGTGCCAGATTGGTTAAATTCTTAGGTAGAAGTTTAAAAGCCATTGTCGTATGAACATTTGGGTTCATGGAATGTTGAAGTTTGAGAAGGAAACAAAAACTTACAAGAAAAAGTTACAAACAAGAAGCAATCTGAATATCCGATGGTTTGGTTGTTACATGCGTAAAATATAACATGATGATGATTGGAAAAACATAACGCAATTAGTGAGTGTGACTATAAACATTAACACTAATGGATTTGATTACTAGGGATTTGAATCGGCCAATGAAATCAATTTGTTGATTCATTGAGTAAAAACCAGAGTTAATAGGATTAGTAAAAAATATGTTTGATAAAAAGATAAACCTTATTTGTTTTGAGATTAGATCGAATATCGACCGTGATTTAATAAAATACTAACATTTATACACACACAAATTCCCTAGAAAAACGACGTCGTTTAGGCGGTGTTGGTATAAACCCCTTTCTTTAACCGCTTGCCTGCAATCTTCTTCTCTCCTATCTCTTCCAATCCCCCTTCCTCTCTCTATCTATCCGCTTCTTCCCCTTTCTTCCTTCTTCCCTGTAAAAAAATTCCCTATCTTTCTCATTTTGATTAAAGCTTCGGGATTTCACTAGGGTTCTTCCTCTTCTCACCTTTTCTTCGATAATTTTCTGCTCCTTTTCTTTCGTATTTTCACGGACGAACAAACCCGAAGACAACGAGCTCATGATTGAGGTCGGTTCTTTTGCTCTTTCCCACTCAATTTAACACACTAGCTGTATTGTAATTTGCAATCCCGTTTTAGGGATTTGGGTGCTTTTTCTGAGGCGATATATTTGATATGTTGAGGAAAATTTGAAAAACAAAAAAAAATAGAGGTATTTTTACAGGTTTCTTGTGGTGGCTTAGATTTATGGGTTAGTGTAATTGTATCTAAGCTTGATAATTGGTTGTTAGAGAAGATTTTTGGAAGTTAGGAGGATGAAGAAATTCAATTTCTATGAATTTTTGAGAATTCGCAGAACAAGTTCGTTTTTTTAGTTCGGATTTTGCTTGAGCTTTGTTTCTTTCAAGTAATTTTGCTGTGATTTGTCTATTGAATTGCATTTTTAATGTTCTATGACCGCTACTTTGTGATTTCATCATTTTGGAGGTTACTAGTCTTTCTAAGACCTTGAAATTTCAATCCTCTTTCTGGATATTTCTTGAAATTTGGCTTGATGTTGTTGCTCGTTTTTTTGCCTATGAATTTTGGTTTTGATATCGTTGCTACATGTGCGATAGTTTTTAACTTTCTTCGAGTTGGATAATCGAGGCTTAGAGAAAGCATTTTGGAATCTGGAAAAAAACCGATTTGAGTTTGCAAACTGGTGTCTTTATGAGCTCAGATTTTTGTTTCTATCGGCAACTAGGAGAATTTTTATGAGTTACATAGAGCTCTGTATAATGTAAGAGAGAGATTTACTACAGGGTGATGGATGCATTGGCTTATGTTTATTTATACATGTGGGAGAAGAAGTACGGTGTATCTTATGTCATTGATTCCAAGTTCTGCACACTTGGGGTTTCTTTTAGTCCTGATGTTATTGAGTACTAAAAATGGTTTGTGTCTAAATGATTGACAGATTGTGACCTTTTTGTAAATGATTCACTGCTCAGCTGGAGACAATGGTGTTGGTAACCCATAAATTGCAGGTATCTTCAACTGCAAATCTTATAAGTCTTCAGTTTTGTGGGTTTTATTGCATCTGTGTTATCGTCGTGTCTACGAATGATTGTGTCTTAGTATTATCTGTGTACTTATTTACATATCTTTTATATTTCAAATGTTGTACCTTCCATATCACTCTTGTAAAAAGCCTTCTTTCATTTTATCTCATGTAGGGTTCACATGTCTTGTTTCCTTGGAGTTCACCAACATGGACCAAAGGCTTGATTACTAAGAGACCTGTTACGACTGTGCACTTTGTTGGGAGGAAAAATAAGCATTTACGATTGAAGCAAAATTGTTGTTTTAGGTGAGAATCCCATTCCACAAGTGCCTGCTTATTTCCTTCATTTGGACATTCTTAAAACAGGGTACTGCTTAGTTTGAGACTCATTACTCTAGGTAGATACGTAGTTATATTGGGGGTTTCAATGGGCCTATTTGTAGGCTGAGAGACCTAATGGTTAAGTTAAAGAGTTCTTTATTAGATACTGAGACACGGTTTAGTGCATGGGATTTGATGAACTCTTCAGTAGGCTTATGATGATTAGGGAACTGTATGGTGGTGG